CCACTGGGTTCCCCTAGAGTGTCCCATATTTCCTTCTGAGGGGAAGTTGGCTTCGTGATTTGGACTTTCTCCAATTCTAGCCTCAGGCCTTCAGTGACCTGTGTTAACTCTTGGTTTTGATTTTCCTGGCCTTCAGTAGCCGGGGTTTCTTTTGCAATAGCTACAGGTGCTGCTTCAATCGAAGTCTCTGGTAGCTTCTGGACGTCTTCAGTGACCTCCTTATCGACTTCGACTATCACCCAACTTTCGTTTTCAGTACCTTTCTCTCCTATTGGGGCATCACTTTGGTCAGCTTCCACCATGTTAATCTCTCCAATGCATGCAGGATCGGAGTAGTTGGTGTCTGCCACGTCCAAAGGATCTTCGTCCATTTTCATCTTTGCTTTATCAGCAAACTTCAGTCTGCCATCTTTGATTGCATTCTGAATTAGGTCCCTGAAAAGAAAACACTGTGAGGTTTTGTGGCCTAGGAAACTATGATATTTGCAAAATCCTCTCTTCTTTCTTTGATCTAATGGAGGTATTTTGACATTTGATGGCACAATGAGTTGGCCATCTTTGACAAGTAAATCAAAAATCTCGTCACATTTAGTGACATCAAAGGTATAAACCTTCTTTGGGAATTTGTCACTTTTCTCATTTTCAACAATCTCTTTCCCTTTCGTGGGAACTAATAACTTGCAGGAGTAAGGTGGTGCCTGTTTTAATTCAGCGAGGTCGATTTCGACCTCTTCGAATTCGAATTCAGGATAATCTTCTGCTTCCTCAGTTCCGACATAGGAGATCCTTTCCTTCTTGTTATTTTTAAAGACTTTGGCCTTTTCGGCTTTTAGCCTTTCGACCTGTCGAACCCTGTCGGCTAACTGAGCCATGTCTCTCAAATATTGAGTGTCTAGTTTCTTTCGAATAGAGTAATCCAGGCCACCAGCGGCCATTTCGACTAACTCATGTTCGGGCACCACTGTGTAACATCTGGATTTCAAAAGCCTAAATCTATTCAGATAATCATCTATGGGTTCTGTGAACTTTCTCTTGACACTGGCTAATTCCTTCAAGCTTATTTTCGACTGTCCCATGTAAAACTGTTCATGGAATAATCTCTCCAAAAGAGCCCAAGTATCAATAGACCCAGGAGGCAAAGTGGTGAACCATGTGAAGGCGTTTTTAGTCAGGGAACTTGGGAAGTATTTTATCCTGAGGCCTTCATTATTGGCTATATCTCCCGCTTCGGTTAGATATCTGGCTATATGTTCGACTGTTGATTCATTAGTATCCCCAGCGAACTTTGTAAATTTAGGGACTTTATACCCCCTTGGTAAATCAGTATGCATTATGGAATCTAATATAGGAGAAGCATAATTTGGCCTTCTAATTCCTGTGTTGAGGCCATTCTGGGCCATGACTCTCTCTATCATGGTGGTTAAATTGTTTTCTGCCAAGATGTTATCGTTTCGAATTCTATGAACGACAACATCAGCATCTTGATTTCGACCCACCATGACAACCCCCCTAGGTTGTTCTTCTCGAAACTCTGGGACTTCCAGCCTTTCGACCCTTGCCCCTGGTTCCATAATTTCTCTTTGTGGGCCTGGGATCATTGGGGCTTCTAGCCTTTGTGCCCTTGCCCCCAAGTTTTCCTCTCTAGGTGGTCTATAGTTTGGGTCGTTAGCAACTTGTTCCACAACAGGCATGTTTGCTCGAACTCCCGCCTGATTCTGCCTACGCCTTTCTGGGGGAGCAAAGAAATCTGCTATTCGACTCATGTTATCGGCGTTCTCTCTGTTTGTCACAGTCACATTTTGTACTATTGGGGCAAATATTTCCTACATAGTTTGTGCTAATACCCCTATCATGTTATGGTTACTGTCATCCATCAATTGCCTAAAGGCCAACTGGTTTTCTGTGGTTAAAATAGGCATTGTGCTATAACCCACTGACCCTTGGTTATTTGTCATAAACTGATTCGCCCCAGACCCAGACCCTAATTGTGGTGATGAATTCGATGTGGAATTGTGTAAACCTGCCATAAAGGATGTTGGCATTCCATAAGAGGAATTTATGGTTCTATTACCATCGAAACCGGGTGGTCTAGTTAGTGGAGTGGCGAAATGGGGTTTGTGTCCCTGATGGTGGAACAAATCCCCCAGGATAACCAATGGTTCCAGTATTTCCTAAGATCGAACTATTAGTTGATATGCCACTTACTCCATTAGTGGCTATATTACTGGTAGAAGATGCAACAGACTGTGCATTCGAAGGGGTCACATTAGACGTTCCTATCGAAGCGGACACATTAGTGCCTGTTGTATGTGGGGCATTTTGTTCCCCTTGTTGATTGTCAGAATTAGACATCTTATTCAAACATTTTCTTCTGGATAAGGGTTGGTTGATGTTGGTTATTTTACCACTTCTCAGGTTCATAAAACAACAAACTTATCACTCAGAGGGTATTTTTACAATGGTTACGTCTCAACAATCTTTATTTCTGTTCTAAATTCCGTAATGTCCAACGATTGGTCCCACCGGGTGTGCCAATTTGTTTACAGTGATTTCTGGTAAACAACCGCTAGTCCTCCAAACTATCGAATAAACTTACTGACTGATATTCAATTTCTCTGGTAACTCGCAGGATTGACTAGATTGATTCTAGGACGTGTTGGTTATTAGGGTAACTCTCATGATCGAACAGGTATTCATGGTTGGTATTTAAAATGTTGTGTAGGTGTTTAACTTATTTCGATTTTCTCTTAAAGATCTAAAGGTATGATCAAAATAAATGTGCGCGAAACTAAATTGCATGAATAAAGGTTAATTGTAAAGACATGTAAAACTGCATAAAAGACAAGTAAATGACTTCGAATTATAAAAACAGTTAATGTAAAAGACGCTCTGGAATGTAAAAGATTCGAAATATGAAGAAAGCGTTTAATGCAAGAAATCTGTAGAATGACTTTAAGTGAAAAAGGTGTTCGAAGGATAAAAACTTGAAGATAAAGGCATGAAATGTATAACAGTTTCTGAAATGTAAAGTATTTGAAACGGAAAGAAAGCATTTAAATGTAAGGCATCAGTAAAAGATTTCGAATAAAAAGACTTTAAATGAGAAAACTTGTAAATGGTAGTTGACATAAAGATAAAGGAAAGTACTGGAAATGATAAAGGGTTTTCATTAAATCATAAACATGTGGTGTTATCATACGTACATTGCTCTTGCATTCGTTTCCCTAGCCATGTGGTAATTTGAATGTTTACTGAGTTTTCTTGTACAATAGATATGACACACGAAATCCTAATGCTAAGACTTCTATTTATACTACTTCGACCATAACGGTCTTGCTATAAGATTATGCCACGTTCAGAACATGCAGAGCAATGCCTCTCTCTTGCTTCCACGCGTCTTCGAATGCTCCAGCGCATATATTTCAAATTTCGAACATCCCGCTTGCATTTGAATTTCAAATGTTTTGGCACTTCTTCGCTTCGAACGCACTTCTTAGACACAGCCTTGTTATCATTTCGAGACCTCTTTGGATATATTCTCATAACTGTCACTCGAAGCTCCAAGCTTTGATATGCTCATTCGAAGCATTGCTTCTACTATTTCGAAACATGACGTTTTGTTTCATTTCGATCGAAACGTCCAATTTGTTTTGCTTCTAATAATATCATCAAAATCTTCAGCCAACAGGGAGTTTCGAGGGTCAAGGAAAAAGATTCTATATAGTGATATTTTTTAAAGGAAAATCTCACTCACTTATTTCTTTCTTACAATAAATTGAGTGGTGTAGATTATAATTAGACTCTCTCTAGTTAGTAAAAGTTTCATCGGAGATAATAGGGGTGGCAAAATGGTCGGTCCGCCCCACCTTAAACCCGCCAAAAACAGAGTGAAGCGCACAAGTCCGTCAAGTAGAAATAAGCTTAAAAATATAGTCTGCCCGTCAAATTGGCGAGTGGCAGGATTGCCCGCCTATTTATTTATTATTTTTTCATTTTTTCAATAGATTAACATGCTTTTTTTTTTACATTTCAATTAGAGTTTTCACTTATTTTTTAGAACAGTTTTTTATAAAGCTTTTTGAATAAATTTTACTTAAAAAATATTATATATATTTATAAATAAATGTACAAAATAAAATCATCAATAATTGAAATTATTAGAATTAACTAAAAAATGACGGACTTAATACAGGACGAACTGAACGAATAGGCAAAACAGACTTTAACAGACGACAAACTCAAAATCTAAATTCAATCCACCCTTTATTAGCGGGTGCGGGCCAGTCTGACAAACCACGGCCCGTTTGCCACCATTTATTACTATACATAGTGAAATGACCGTTTTTCCCTTGAACGAATAATCAAATACGCATCATTCGATTTTTATTTCATGCACCCCAAAGGTGTTTAAAGAATCATATGCCCATATCGTTTTTGAAAGTAAGATATGATAGAATAGCTAAAGAAAGATAGTGTATCTTTGTCTTTGTAGGCTACATGTGTGAATCAAAACTAAAATAAAAAATATGCGTAAGAGTTAAGAATAATAGAATGGACTCATTACAACTTGCACTGAGAAAAACACTACAACTACCCTTCACCATTTCACTCATTTAGTGTGTGTGTATAGATAATGATAAATCATCAAATCGACAAAAGTTTGGTTAAATGGACAATTGACTACAAAATCAAATTCAATCGTTGTCTTAGTTTGTGTTTTGTTTTATTTGAGATTTGAGAATATAGATGATACTACCAATATTGATTTTTAATACATGTTGCTAAACATTGAAGTATGATTAATTCCTTATCAAGCAAATGTTCCCTATTATTATAGTCATAAAATTATTTCTTGAAACTCACTTTTCACCAACCTCTAAGAATTTGCACCTACTTGATTTCAATCTCCTTTTGAATATCCTACTTTTATCTACACTCAACCATATAAAACCATTCACATTTATTAATACCATTGAAATTTTCCTCATCTTCCCAAAATCATGTCTAAAACAAATATAAGAAGATATGCAATGGAGGATATAACAAGTGACCAAGAATCAAAAAAGTTGAACCAAATATTTTTCCAAACACACCTCAAAAGAGTCTACCCAATTGGGTTCGAGAAATGTTCTTCATCTTCATCCTCGTCTTCACTATCATCGTCACTGTCACAAAATTCAAATGACTCGGATTCGGTGAATTTAGCAGACGAAAACGTTACATTACCGCAGCATTTGATTTCACCACATCAGAGAAGAGAAAGTGCAGTTGTTAATACTTCACAGCAACAACAAAATCTACATGCAACCAAGCTTGGTGATTTAAAAAGATGCAATTGGATCACAAAGAACTGTGGTATAAATATAAACATATTGAGTTTTTTTTTTCTTTTTTCATTGGATCACAATAGTAATTAAGAAACTGATAAAGAGAGGTATTGTGCAGATAAGGCATACATTGAATTTCATGATGAGTGTTGGGGAGTTCCAGCTTATGATGACAAGTAAGTACTCCTCAATATCTTTACAACTTTTTTCTTTTCCTTTAAAATATATTTTGAAATTATTATCGATATCAACGTATCTGTTTCATTGTCGTATTTTGTGTGCTTGATACAGAAAACTGTTCGAGCTGCTTGCAATGACGGGATTGCTGATAGATTACAACTGGACAGAAATTCTAAAAAGAAAGGAAGTTCTAAAGTAAAATTCAATTAGTACAAAAACAAAACCATCTATATATTTGCATGTTGTTTGGTTTGAAAAAACACTGACATGTTTTTATAATGTTGTTGACACAGACAAGTTTTTGCTGGATTTGATCCAAACATTGTTGCCAAAATGGAGGAGAAGGAAATCATGGAGATAGCATCAAATAAAGAACTTTTATTAGCTGATTCAAGAGTTAAGTGCATAATAGACAATGCCAAATGCATAATAAAGGCAAGTACACTACATAATAAACATTATTTTCATTATTGATTATTGATAAAAATTCATTATTCTTAGTCTCGATTAAATTTTTGACTACAGATTATGAGGGAATATGGATCATTCAGTAGCTATATATGGAGTTATGTGAATCACAAACCAGTGATTAACAGACTGAGATACTCAAGAGATGTTCCATTAAGGACACCGAAAGCAGAAGCCATAAGCAAGGACTTAATAAAACGTGGTTTCAGATTTATGGGTCCAGTGATTGTTTACTCTTTTATGCAAGCTGCAGGATTGACAATAGATCATCTTGTTGATTGTTATAGGCACAGAGAATGTGTGAACTTAGCAGAAAGACCATGGAAACATATTTAAATTCATTTCCATATGATTTTTTTTTATTCTATTGGTTTTTTTTATGAGTATCTATTCAGTTTTGCATGCATGATTAATAAAATTAAAAAAGGCTGTGTGTTTGCCTTTCAATTTGGGTTAGATTATCGGTTTAACATTATATGATTTTGAAAAACTAATTTCCTCCTCCAAAAGTATAATTTCAATACATATACTGCAAATGTTAACTCAAGACATATTGTGTATTCTTGCGTATTCGTTGATGTACCGATTCATTTCACTTACAAATGAAATAATTGTACCGAGTACATGTCCGTTTTTTTTCAATCAAACACTTTATCCTTTCAGACCTAGTAATTGAGGGGTTGTGTAATATTTGGTTTCCTTTATAGAGCCGGATCAACGAAATGAGTTGAGTGGTTCGAGTTACAACCCGTTCGGAATTCTGGCGAGACTAATAGAGGAAAATCGGATTGGTTTAAGCTAATGGATCAGGGCGATTTGGATGGCCCATGGTTAAAAAGAGGGAGTATTTGAATATAAAGGTGAGTGTCGCTACCGCAAAAAATACCGACGCAAACAAAGTCGCCATCAAATGTTATTTATTCCATCAGGAGAAAGTAAAACATAGAGTAAACTTCAAGTGGGCAAGAACAAGGTCTCGCAACAAAGAAATGGATAAGTAAGTCGATTACGCAAGGGGAATGTATTAGCACTCCTCACGTATGTGGTACTCCACGGAATCCACTCAAGTTGTTCTAAACAAAGGGTGTGTAATATCTAATGCTTACTTGCTAAGAGAATGCATGAATGTATTGTTAAAGAACAAAAAGAAAGTTTTTTTTATTATTGCGTTTGTCTCTGTTTCGAAACCTCGTGCTTATGTACCTCTGTCGTGCAATAGGGAATCAGAACATCGTAGTTCTTCTAAAAAAATTGATTTGTTGTACGTTTTTTATAAACAATGTTAATTTCGCATTCTACTTCCGCTCGACCTTTGGAGACTCACGCATGGTTGTTTTGTGTAGAAAAGAACTAACCTGTTCTTACTTGAAAATGTTTTCAAAAGAAAAGTTCGAAGGAAAAAGAGGTTTGAATTGGTTGAGTGTTTTGTTGGAATCATAGCAAATAGACCCCAATGGAGGGACACTTACTACTTCTTCACTTATTTGTGAAAGGATTTGTGATTAGAATCATACTAAAGACTATGGATGAAAGAAAGAACAAGGTTCGGAATGTACCGCCTCATTCTTTTTCCACCACTTAAAACTCGTGACATATGATCCGCATATTTATTCATTAGATGTTTTGAGTTTGAATAAGAAAATGAAGTTTTTGTTTTAGATGCAAATGCAAAGAAGAAACAAAAGTACTAAGGGAAGTTGAGGCAAATGTTGTCATGCAATGGTGGTTCTTAAGGTAGGATATCAAAAGGAATTCTACCTAATGTTATCATGTTTGGTTTGGAACCTAAAGGCTATTTTAATTCAACTTAGTCAAGGATCAAAATTGAATCAAACAGTCCTAAAGGAGCATGTGAGCACAAGCAATCAACAAAGAAACAAGAAGAACGATGTCGTGAACTCAACTGGGATGCAAGACTGAGTGACTCTTTTCTCCCAAAAAAGCAAACAAAAGAACAAAGTCATGATCTCAGCTAGGGTGCAAGACTGAGTGACTCTTTTCTCCCAAAAAAGCAAACAAAAGAACAAAGTCATGATCTCAGCTAGGGTGCAAGACAGAGTGAATCTTCATTCACAACAAAGCAAACAAAATAACGATGTCGTGATCTCAGCTAGAGTGCGAAACTAAGTGACTCTTCGTTCTCAACAAAGTATGACAAAATGGTAGCAAAATAAATCAAAGTGTCAATTGAAAATGGCACACAAGCCAACATACAACCAAGAGTGAAGATTCATCAATCAACAAATAAGTTGCAAACATCAATGCTAAACCTTAAGTATGCTTCAAGTTATTAACAAAACAAACAAGGAGGTGACAAAGTAAAAACTTATGCACACACACAAGTCCCTAAGGGTCATGCTCATAAGGTTTTAACATTGGAGTTTTAGAACCTAGACAAAAATGAGCAACAAGTGCACAAGCATTTAAGACTTTGGATAGCAACCAACTATCATCACTTAGCACACAAAGGTAATTTGAATCAAGCAGGGTAAAACCAAATCAAGTCAGTAGATACATCACAAAGTGTTTAATCAAACACATCTCAAATATTGAGAAATAAATCACACAAGGATTAAACAAGAATTAAGTCAAAAACCAAACAAATCAATAACTAGTTCCCTAAGAACTAAGCAACAAATGATCAAGGCATTAAGATTAAAACATGGAAACATGATGAGTAAATAGCTTAGCCAAGAAATATATTCAAAACATGGCTCATGGTTGCAAGAAGTTTCAACAAACATCACATTCAAAACATGATCAACAACTAGGCATTCATCAATTAACATCATCCTCAAAAGGAAACATTTATTCATGGAAGAACAAATGACCAAATGATCATGAAATTAAACATTAGACATGGCAATGAAGTAGATTCAACAAGAAATTCACATCAATCATGATTCTCAAATATCAAGGAATTCTCATACAAGGCATGTTCAAAGATTAGGTCACAAATTAGACAATCATCTCTTCAAAGATAGCATCAAACTGAAACATCAACCCAAGACATACAAGTGATCAAATGAACATGAAAATAAGGCTCTAACTCATGGAAAAATACTCAAGTTTATGTCAGGAAAAATTCCCTAATAGGTTGCCCAAGTGCATTCCCTAAAATCAATCAACAACACAAACAAGTATCTCAACAAGTAGGCATGAAACAGACTCATCAAAATCACTTAACAAATAATTCAATTCTCACCAAAAATACATCAAAGTAACATGTAAACCCTAATAATTTAGGTGCCTAAATGTGTCAAAAAATATTGGCTCAAGAAAGTGTCCAAAGAGGCATCAAACCAAAGCACCAACTACAAGACAAACATCTAAAACACCTTCACCAATTAATTCCAAATAAAAATGAAAAATAAATGGAAAAACAAAATTAAAAATACCAAAACTATCTCAAGACAACAAAGAGTCTGAAACATGTTTTTATTTATTTTTATAGAAAAGGGAAAATCAAAAATTAAAAATAAATTGGAAAATAACAATTATTATACAAAAGAAAGAGGGAGGTGCAAAACAGAAACAACAAATGAACTAAAAGCAGTTACAAAAGAAAGAGGGTGTGAAAAGAAAATTGTGCCAGACTTGATCGAACAACTAACAATTATCACATTTTCACTTATTTTATTTAATAAAACTAAAAAAAGTAAAGAAAACAAAAAAAAATGACGTGAGAAATTATAAAATGCCAGATCCAATCACAATGTGTGATGCTCTGGTCAAACATTCAAACAAAACCTCAGACACCAGAGCCCTAGCTCTAGTCGTCTTCCTCATACACTCTCTCACCGGAGCATAAAAAAATTATAGAAAAAGAAAACAAAATCCACTATCTCACACGAACTTTCATGGAGAACATGAATCTACCATTAGTTTTCATTAAAACACACTCAAACACGTTGAAATTATGCCACAAATTCAAATATGTAAAACTAAGATCCAATATATCTTCAATTATTTCACACAAAACCAATGCCTACACAATTGTAGGACTTCAGATGCATATGTATGAACTTCTTACACGATTCAAAGGCCTAAGATGAGAGTTAAAGAGTTTGAGGAATTTTACCTAGTGGAAGATGGTTCATTGCAGCTTGTTTCTTGAGTGAAAAGAAGAGATAATGATTCTCGAACACTTCAATGCTCTTTAGATAGAGTAGAGCAAGAGTGGAAGGAGAATGCAGAGAAGCTTGAACTCGAGGATGAAAATTCTTGAGAAAAAGAGAGAGCTCATATCTGATTTCTTGCACCAAATGAAGTCATTCGTGTGGTTAAGAGTGATGAGAAGTTTATATAGTGAGGGTTTTGTGTGGTTTCAAAGCTTAACCGTGGTTGGAATTGGTTGAGAAGTTTGTTATGTGAAATTTGATATTTGAGAATGAGATAATGAAGTCATGCATTTTTCTCATGTCAGGTAGTGTTGTTGTTGTTGTTTTGATGCTAAACAAATAAATGAAAAGGGCTTGAACGATGAGTGGGCACGAGGGTAGAGAGTAGACACTACGCCAAAAAAGACCTACGAAAGCGCTTTTTTTGGCTTTTAAAAGCGCTTTCTAAGGTGGCGCTGCTAAAGGTTTTAGAAGCGCTTTTTGTTTAATGAAAAGCGCTCTCATAGGTCTACTTATGACAGCGCTTTTTCTAAAAAGCGCTCTCTTAAGTACCCTTATGGCAGCTTTTTTCTTTAAAGCGCTCTCTTTAGTACCCTTATGGCAGCGCTTTTTCTAAAAAGCGCTCTCTTAAGTAGGCTTTTGGCAGCGCTTTTTCTAAAAAGCGCTCTCTTAAGTAGGTTTTTGGCAGCGCTTTTTTATGAAAAAGCGCTTTCATTGGTGGCGCTTTTTTTGGAAAAAAGCTTTCATAGGTTGTCTTTTAGCAGCGCTTTTTCTTGGAAAAGCGCTGTCATAGGTCTACCTATGAAAGCGCTTTATGTGAAAAAGCGCTGTCATAGGTCTACCTATGAAAGCGCTTTTCTCCAAAAAGCGCTTTCATAGGGTGTTTTTTTTAGAGGTATTATTTATATCATTCATATACCTGCATTGTTTGCCATAACCTGTAATTCATAAATAGCGGTAATGCATTGTAATTCCGATACCCCGTTCTCGTACTCTTTCGACAATCGATTGGAATACATCCATGTCTTATCCATGGTTTACGGTTTCTGAGTCAAAACCAATACTCAATATAACAAAACCAATACTCAATACTTTTCACTAAATTCATTTTATTCTATCAACTACTTTAGTACACAAGTATAACACAAGAAACCATAAACAAGAAACTATCATTGCTCAAAATCAATCATAAATTATGTTTGTATCTCAAATTAT